TAATTTAATAAAAGAGAATGGCCTTTAATATTATCTTTATTTGAAATCAATAGCTATCTTTATTATATTATGTATAGGTCTGTGTGTTTAAAATTTCAATGACATTTTTTAAGATCATTTTTTTACAGGTTATTATTTTAAAAACTATTTATGTTATAATTAATTAATTTTATATTTTATAAAAGTAAAAAAAATCAAAACTCAAAAAGCTTATTATTTTAAAAACTATTTGTGTCAATTTTTGTTGATTAGTTTATGTTATTTTTATTTACAAGTTATTTAAAAAGAGAATGAATATTAAAGTGATCCAAACTCAAAAAAAAATTTCTTTATAATTTATTTTTTAATTTTTATATGATTACATTAGCATGTATAATTTATTTTTTAAAACTATTCAAGTTAAAATTTGCATATGCTTCCACAAGTATAATAATTAAAAATAATAATTTTATACATCTAAGTACAATTTTTTTTTTGGCCACTGGCGTAATATGGATTTACAATATATAAAGTTATTAATAATTAAAATAAAATGTAAAAAACTCAGTTTATAGTGATTTAAAAATATGAAATATATTAATTGAATCATACTTAAAAAATTACAATAATTGATCAATATTTATTTTAAAACCCAATAAATATGATTATGGAAAAAAAATGTGTGTACCGGTAAGTTTTTTTCAAATTGTGCGAAAAATAAAAAAAAATTCACGATTCCGGTTACCGCAACCGTTAAGTTGCGGCCTTTATACCTCGCAACTGCAACCATAACCGCATCACTGCCACCATTATAGCAACCGCAACCGCAACCGTAACCGCTTTTCAAAACCTTGGAACTCGTGAATTTGAAATAGAATACAATGGATAATTAAGGGAATAATTGAATCATGAGTGAATAAAAAAACGATTGGGATTGAAGAGAGAAACATCATATCATGATAAAATGAAAACCCATCACCCGTACTACGTTTCATTACGTACATTACATGGTCTAACCACTTAACATGCATCTTGTGAGTATTGATTTCCGACCACACAACCAAACATGGAACTTAACTGGATAGCACCGACAGAATAGATTGAACCAATAACCTACCAACAAGACAATGTGAATACCGCGATGGTTCGTCCACCTAGGGGCACTCCGACGATCAAGTTAGTAAATCTTATCTCTCACAGATATTAAAAAGTATTTCAACTCACAAGCAAAGCATACCTTAAACTCACAAGTAAAGCATACCTTAGACTCATGAGGGTGTCTCACTTTTATAACCAGCGGTGACCTAGTCCTTGGAAGTCTCACTTCATAGGACTCAAGCTCAATGCTTATCTCAGACTCTTGGCTAGATAGGGATAAACTCCTCAAGAGCCTTATCCATATCCAGACCGGGAGCCTTTTCTGATCCAGGACTATTGTTCTTTATCCGAAAATCTCAGGATTCTGGCATTACAGCAGAACATCTCGGCAATGCTATGATTACCTCAGTAAAACATGACTAGTTCCACGTGGCACCTTGGTTGGCATCTTGGCGCCACCTTAGCCACGTGGTGTCTTTCATAAAATACTTCCCCATAACTGCCCCCTAAATTCTATTACCTCGGCAATCTGAGGTGATGGAACCTACACATGTATTTCTCTGACGGAGATCGTTACTCGTTGGCGCCAAGTAACAAGGACTCAAATGTCCATTTCATCAAGAATCAAGAACTGAGTTCTTTCAGCATCCCAACCGAGATCATCATCTCAGCCGAGATCACTCTTCTCAACCGAGATCGCTTAGCTAGCCGAGGTCATTACCCCACTAGTTCAAGAATTTCAAGAGTTTTAACTGTGCATGAGCGGTCACGCACTGTCATTTCAACCGTTTCTTCCACGTGTCCCATTCTTATTGGCTCATACCAAGCACGAGCTATCAAGTCACATCGAAGTTATATGTGCTGCCTGATAGGCACGTTGTGCAAGGCAACTTCATAATGTTTTGCCGCCTTTTCAATTTTTGACAAAACTTTTCCTCTCTCTCTCTCTTTCCGTCTTTTCACTTTCACAACTTCAAACTCTCTCTCATCTCAGATTTTCTCTCTCTAGAACTCCCAAACTGCCATTGCCGTTCTTTCAAGCTATCTGCAGTGGTCTGTTCATCACCTTTGGCGAGCTTTCCATCATTTGATTTCGGTCATCTACATCGTCTAACTCCGGCTAACTTCATACTGGCATTCGTTTCTTCAGTTCTACACTGTAAGTCCTCGATTTCCTCTTTTTCATTTTCAATTTCTTACTATTCTTGAATGCACTTTTCTCCTGTATTGTTACACATTGCACACTGCATCTGCATTCAAGTTTTTGTCATGTTATATGTGTATGCATCGATTCATTCAATGTTCCTTACGTTTTTGGTTTTTTGTTCTGTTTTTGTTCGAATTTTCTTCATGCCTTATTTACACCTTCGCACACTAGCTCACTCTCTTTCCTTGCATTCTGAATCTATCAATGCTCTGAGTTTGCCCCTATGTTCTTGAATCATCGTTTCACACCACTGCACTTGTCACATTGTTGCTTTTCTCTGTCTTTTTCTTAATTCTAAATCATGTTTATTTTCTATTTTTCTTGCTTGTTTCCAGATTCTTGCCCTTGATTCTTGTTCTTGTAGTTCTAGGCTTGGGATTTGTCTTAGAACATTGTGTACTTAGGTAAACCGAAACCAAGTCTTCCATAGGTCTCTGAAATCCTCTCCCTGGTGCCATTAGGTTCTAGCCGAGGTTCTCAGACTCAAACCAATCACCTTTCCCAGAAATTTGTTATCAACCAACCCAAGCTAAGGTCATGGGCATGTTCAAATAGAGAGTCAATTCACCCAGCAAACTAGAATATTTCCGTCAGGAGTTCTCTATCCCAGCTGAAGTTCAACTCAGGTTGGCTGGGAAGAAGGACTTTATTATGCCTGGAGAGGACTACATGCCATTCCTAGTAGTTTCCATTATTGAGGGTGGAGTTAGTTTCCCCTTAGACATCATCTTCAGAGAAGTCATCCATTTCTATAAACTCAATCCCATGCAACTAACCGTAAACACCTTCAAGGTCATCAATGGTATAGCTGAATTGGTACGTCGGCAAAAAGCTAGGATCACTTTGTCCGACATCCAATACTGCTATACTATGTGTGGCCTTAAATCCACTAGCGACTATACATACTACCTCAAACCCAGATCCACCAAGTACAAGCTCATAACTAACCTTCGCGACTCTAATAAAGGCGCTGGAGATGATTATTTAATTGTCTCAGGAAACTGGAAATTCACGTCAGACAACGATCTTTATCTCTTCCCACTGCGTCGAGGAGTCTTTAGTGAAGATGAGGGTAAGGACCTAGTCACCCAAAGTGCCATATCTTTTCAACACTTAGCATTTATTTCTCTTATCTATACTAATGTTTTCTTATTGTTTCTGTAGCTCTTGCTCATCCATTAAAAAACTTCTACCAAACGTACATCCCAAGCTGAGATCTTATCCGGCTTCTCGGCCTACCCGTCGAGGTCCGCAAGGTCCCAATCCTATTAACTTACATGCCAACCTACTATTTTTTGCTTCCCAACGTGCCGAGGAGGGCCAAGACTCCACCATCTGTGTCAACTCCACCTGCCACTTCTTCCTCGATACCAGACCAAGCCTTAACGTCTGATCCTGTGAACCAGCCATCCACCTCTATTCCAACACAACTCATTCCACCATCACAGTGCTAATGCTATCACCGACCTTTGAATGCTCCGGCCGACAGAACCCGAAATCGCAAGCGCCGAGGTTCAAACACGCCAACGTACGATCTTGAGAATCCTGCTATTGCCCTTCCTGCCATTAGGTTTGGCACTGAAGTCATTGTCGCCGCCACATCCGAAGAAATAGGCCGCAAACAAGTCGTGGTCAAAGATTTGCTGGCCGACATACCAGCCGTTGTCACTGTTCAGTCATCTCCTTCTCAGTCCCAGCCCAAACAAAAGCCAAAACGAGCGAAGAAGACTAAGGCAAAGGCCAAAGTCACCACCATTGCTTCAAACTCAGAGGATACATTGCTAATCTCAAAATTAGTTGAGGCTGAGAAGAGGCCGGCCTAGGCCGAGTCATCTGAAGCGTCATCGCCAAAAAAGTCGAGGTTATAGGGCCTAGAGGATGGGACCCGTTTTCACCCCAGCCGTACTTGGGCGCCCTAGGTCCTTATTGGTAACAGGCCCCTCAAAGCCAGCGACAATGCTGTGGAAAGTCTCGAAGTCGATGTCGCGTTATCCACGACTGTTCTTCTTTCGGCTGATATGAACCAACTCATCGAGTTTAACCAGTATGAGAACTTCGCGATGATGATGCACCACTCAGTCTTGGTAAGTTTCTTAACTTCCTCTTTATTGTTTTTGCTTTTTAGTTCCTATACTTAGTAAAATTTTCTAACTTGTTCCTTTTTCTTGCATTCCATCCAGTACGCTTATTCCCATACGGTCAAGGCCAAGTTGGTGAAGAAGGATCTCGTCAAAAAGACTCAGGAAGCAGCGAGTTTTCTTTCTTCGCTCAACAAGGCCGAGGACCAGATTAAGAACTTGATGGACAAGGCCAGTGCAGCCAAGGCCGCTCAAAATAGGCCCGAGGCTAAAGCCAAAGCTGTGGATGTTGCTGCCGAGGCTGTCGAGGCCAATGCCAAGGCTACCAATGTTAGGGCAGTCAATGCCGGGACTAGTACAAATAGCAAGTAAATCTGCCCTGCAACAAAGGCTACTATCTTGGTTGGATGGCGATACTCAAAGTGCTATCTGTCCCCGAGGATTCACCACTCCGCGACATCAACCAACTCAAGGTGTCCTTTCCTCCATCTCCTACCAAGTCCGAAGAAGAAGTGGAAGATGAAGAGGCCGGCGCCGAAGATGCCGAAGAAGGTACTAGCAAAAAGGTTGTTGTTGGGTCCAAGTCCCAAACTCTAAATGATCAGATCCTAGATTTGACTGAGATGGACAGGGACGAGGTCTCCAAGAGCACCTTGCTGAAGAAAACCATAACGTCTGAGTCCGAGGTCCTTGCTGTTGAGAGGAGTCTCGACCAAACACTACAATAGATTGATGCCGAGGTCGCTGCTAAAGCCGAGGCCAAGATAGGCAAGAACAATGAGCCTCAGCCTAGTACTTAGGATTTTTTTTCTTTCTTTTGAATTTTTACTTTTGTCTTTTTGAACAATATATGTTTGGTCGAGCCGATGGGCCTCTTGTGTACTTGAACAACTTTTCTTTAATGCAAGTAGTCTTTTTTCTTGTAAGTCTTGCATGCTTGCCTCTTTAAGCCTTGTGTATCTTTTCTGTCTTGTTTGTTTCCATACTTACATTCTTTGAAATACTTCTAAGTGCAACTTACTTGAATAATCACCTTGTATTAGCATACCCCAGATATAAATCATCTCGGATTGACATATCTCGGATAACAACTCGTGTCAATTTATGTCGACCAACTTTTACTTAGAGAATTTTTTTCAAAAAACTTTTTGCAAGTGTTGTTACTTGTACTTACTATCTTCTGGCAAGACTTCACCCTTCCAAGTCTAACAACCTGGTCAGTTATCACGAGTATCCCTTGAGTTTCCGTTTATTCAATTGTCTCGGATAACTTCAACTTGTAAAAATTTTTCTAAAATTTTCACAAGTGTTATGTTCAATCCTACTTCCTCCCATGTAATGTGAACCTAAGTACCACTTATGTTCACATTAAGGATACATCGCCTGGTTATCGCCTAAGTATTACTTAGACACTTTTGGCCGAGGTCATCATGTTTGGCTCGCCCAAATGAAGCACTTAAGGCTTAACCTTAGTGCATCAAGAGTACTAATTACCTCGATTTTTCTTACAAACTGACCAAGTCAAGGCCAATTTTGCCTTGTTTTGTGCCGAAACATCACTGACTTAGTTCAACTCTACCATCATGGCAAGTCTAAGTTAATCGTCATGTTTCATGCTAAAACATCGCTGACTTAGTTTAACTCTACCGTCATGGCAAGTCTAAGCTAATCATCATGTTCACCATAGGAACATTGCCTTAAGACTTTTTAGTCTTATCGTACAAATTTCAACAACATTCTTGTAAAACAAAATCAAGCTAGTATTTCAGTAATACTTCGACTAATAGTCTATTACACAAAAGAAACTGAAAAAATAGAAATTAATGGTAGAAAAACTTCAAATTACTGATGTTTCAGGGTCTTGGCAACTACTTGCCATTAGTGTCTTCAAGCCGGTAAAGTGCCATTGCATGCAACCGAGATGATGCGATATGGTCCTTTCTAGTTTGGGCCAAGCTTGCCCTCCTTAGGATCTTTCTTATTGTCGACAACCTTCCTTAGGACGAGGTCACCAATCTGAAACTCCCTGGGATTGACCTTTTTGTTGTATGCCCCGAGCCGAATTACTGTTGGTATGCCCCGAGCCAAATTGCTGCTCTTTCTCTTCTTTCTTCTATCAAATCAAGATCTCAAGCAAGGAATGCCTCATTTGTTCCACTTTCCGCTCATTGGGTTTTGATTCCTGGGATTCCAATCTCTAGTGGAATGACTGTTTCGATGCCATATGCCATGGCGAAAAGAGATTCTTCAGTAGACCTTCTTGGCGTAGTCTGATATGTCCACAGGACATTGGGCAATTCTTCCATCCACTTGCCCTTAGCAGCTTCCAGCCTTTTCTTGATTCCATCTAGGATGGTCTTGTTGGATGTCTCGGCTTGACCATTACTCTAGGGAAAACTAAGAGTAGAATAGTAATTCTTGATCTAGTACTTTGCACAAAAGTTTTAAATCAGCTTACTGTCCAATTAGGTGCCATTATCTGCCACGATGGCTCTTGAGATTCTGAATCTGGTGATTATGTTTTTCTAGATGAAATTCTTCACATCCATATCTCATATTTTGGCTAGGGGTTCAGCCTCTGCCCACTTCGTGCCAATAGGAACTTCCTCTGTCCAATTGCCTGGGGCAGTTGCCCAACTAGATCCATGCCCCACTGGGCAAATGGCCAAGGACTAAATACTAGATTCAGATCTACAGTTGGCTGGTGTATCAAAGGTGCAAACCTTTGGCTCTTTTCATATCCTTAGATAGGCTTCAGCGTCTTTTTGCATATAAGGCCACCAGTATCCTTAAGATATGGCCCTGTGGCAAGTGAGCTACCCCAACATAGCTTCCACATACTTCCTCATGGATCTCATACAAAAGGTCCTCTACTTGGGATGGGTGCACACATCGCAGAAGAGGTCCCATGAAGGATCTCCTATACAAATAGCCTTCTGCTGACAGGAAGAATCTGGTAGACTTCAATTTTTTTATCTTCTGGCAGCTTGCCGTCTTTGAGGAATGCCACTATGGCATCTATCTAGCTTGGGTCCATCTCCACACACATTGCTTCATACTCTGTTATCAAAGGCTCGACACTTGGGGCCTGATAGATAATCCACCACTATTGTCCTTGCCTCACCTGCCTTCATCGCACTGACAAGGTTAGCCAGGGCATTGGCATGGCTGTTATCATCTCGACTAACCTACTGCAGCCGATAACTTTGGAAATGTGTTAACAACTTGACAACCTCCTTGACATAGGCTATCATCCTCTCATCTCGGGTTGTGTACTCGTTCGTTGTTTGATTTACAATGAGCTTGGCGTCACAGAAGACTACCATATCGTCGGCTTCCACAATTGCTGCTAGTTTCAGTCCACCAATCAGTGCTTCGTACTCTACTTCGTTATTTGAGGCCTTAAATCCTAAACGGATGGACTGTTCTATCATTCACCCATCTGGCGATACCAAAACCACTCCTGTCTCCGTTCTTTGTCGGTTTTAACTGTCATCGACAAAGAGACAAAAGGAGTCGCAGATGTAATATCGCAGGGTTTTAGCATTTCTTCTCTCTTCTTTTGTTCTGCCGGCATGGGGTTCCTTAGCCCCAGTTGATTTTTCTCTTTCTCTCCTGGACATCCTAGGCCAAAGCTCACCGGTGCCGTATTGGGATCCCACCTAAAGAGAATTCTGCCACAAAGTCGGCTAAAACTTGGCCCTTGATTGTTGTGCTCGACATGAATTCTAAGTCATACTAACCTAGAATTACAGCCCATCAAGCTACTCTGCATGTCAGGTCTCCATACTGCAACAGAGACTTTAGTGGATGCTCGGTTAGCACCACAAACTTGTGGGCTTGAAAGTAGTGGTTCGGTGTTTTCGAGGCCATTACCAGAGCTAATGTTAACTTCTCTAGAGGCAGGTTCTGGGTTCCTACATTTGTCAAGGTCTTGCTCACATAATACACTGCCTTCTACTCTCCTTCTTTTTCTTGGATAACTACGACACTCACAATGTGGTCCGAAACTGCCAAGTACAAACACTGGTGGGGTTGTCAGGTACTTCTTCAAGTCGGCCAGGGCAACTTCGCATTCTTCTATCCACAGAAAGTCTATAGATTTCTTCAATAACTGAAAAAATAGTTTACACCTATCTGAACTCCGGCTGATGAATCTGTTCAAGGCTGCCACCTTGCCGGTCAAAATCAGGGTGTGTTTCGCTGTCGTTGGGCTCTTCAGATCAAGGGTGGCCCTGATCTGATCTAGGTTCGCTTTAATTTCCCTCTTGGTTACCAAGTATCCCAAGAACTTACCGAATTCAACTCCAAATGCGCACTTCGAGGCATTGAGTCGAAGCCGATATGTTCTCAATATATCAATGACCTCTTTCAGATCGGCCAAATGATCCTGAGGTTCCTTAGTCCAAACCTCCACCGTTCTTCCAATTAGATGTTTGAACATCTTGGTGACCAATCTTTGGTATGTCTCTCCTGCATTCTTCAGCCCAAAGGGCATTACTCTGTAGCAATAAAGTCCTTTAGGGGTGATTCATGCTGTCTTTCATTCGTCTGGGGCATACATTGCTATTTGGTGATACCCTCCATATGCATCCAGAAAACTCATCCTCCTATGCCCTAATATGGCATCCATCAGTTGATCAATCTTGGGCAGTGGGAAGTTGTCCTTGGGACAAGCCTTGTTCAAGCTTGTGAAGTCTACGCAGACCCTCCACTTGCCATTCTTCTTCTTTACCACCACCGTATTGGATAACCAAGTAGGATACTTCACTTCTCGGATGGCCTGTGCCTCTAGTAGCTTCTCCATTTCTTCTTCAATTGCCTGTACATGTATCAATGTCGGCCTCCTTGCTCTTTGAATGACAAGTTTAGCTGACCTATCCACGTCAAGTCTGTGACTGGTGACCTCGAGGCTGATTCCCTGTGTCTCATAGGGTGTTCAGGCAAACACCTCTATGTTCTCCCTCAAGAAAGCCTCCAGTTCTCTTTCTTCTTCCTCGGCTAAGCCAGCGCCGAGGAGAAAGAATTACTTCTCATGTCCTTTTTGTACAGAACCTTTTTTAAGGGTTCTTCTCTCTTGTCGACTGGTTCTTTGTCGATATCATCCAAGACCTCATGGTTTTTGCCTTCAATCTCTGCACTCTCTGCTTCCCTTACATTGCAGGTGTACTTCATTACCACCATGGAGCAATTTTTTGCCTGTACTTGGTCTCCCCTTACTTCTTCAATCCCCTGTTCAGTTGGGAATCACAACAGTTTGTGCAGCGCTGAGGGAACAACCCTCATTACATACAACCAAGGTCTTCCCAAAATGATATTGTATGGGAGAGAGAGTGTTTATCACAGTAAATTGCATTATTACCTTCTTGCTCATTGCCTGCACCTCTAGACTCGTGGCTCCTAGAGGCCATGTCGGCGTCCGATTGAATTCGATCATAGGGCTGTCAGATTACTCTAAATCATCCTTGTGGAGGCCAAGCTCCTTATAACATCTGACATACATGATGTCACAATACCTGCCCTGATCAATCAATATGTGCTTCACCTAGCAATCTCCAATCTTCAAAGTTACCACTAGGGCATCATTATGCGGATGCTATACCATATCCAAGTCCACTTCAGTAAAAGAGATCATCAATCCTTAATGTTCATTTGTTCTTGGCTTCTTCTGCTGGACCTAATATACATGTTGCAGGTGCTTTACTCTCTAGGTCTTCCCTTAAACTTCATTCTCATTGAATACATTGATTACCCAGGGTCCATCTGCCTGCTACGATGGTAGTGGTGGAGGTGGTGCTGCTAGTGCCTAGGGAAGCCTCATGTGCTTTTCCCTTGTCTTCGCCTTATCTACTAGGTCTCTTAGGTGTCCCTGTCTAACCAGATCCTCCAGGTGTGACTTTAGAGCCCTGCATCCTTGAGTCATGTATTCATTCTCGTCTTGGTAAGCACAATGTTTCCTAGTGCTCCTGCCCATGTACTCTCTAAGGACCTTCTCCGGCGCTTTGTAGTATGGCTAGTTCCTAATCCTCTCCAAAAACTTATAGATTGAAATCTTGAATACTGTGTTGATTGCCTGCATAGCCCTTATTCCTGTTTCTGGCCAGTCAACGCCGGCATTCCCTCGGCCTCACTTCGATGAGTCATTTCTCCTTTCTGATTTTGGTGTCTTCTTCCCTTTCGTGTCTTCCTCTCCTCTGGTATACTTCTTAATCCGTGCCATGAGCTCTTCCATGCTCT